GGATGGAACTAGAGAACATTATGCTAAGTGGAATAGATCAGTCAGAGAAAGACAAATACCATATGATCTCACTTATACGTAGATTCTAAAAAATGAATAAATGAGAAATGTAAACAGAAATAGTCTCAGAGACACAGAGGAAAAACTGATGGTTGCTAGTTGGGAGTGGATGGGGATGAAGGAGAAGGGGAAGGGATGAGACAATACAAATTGGTAACTACAATATGGCCTCAGGGATAGACAAGACAGTCTAGGGAATACAATCAATAATGTTGTAAATAATTTTTTAGGGGGCCAGATGGACTCATGTCTTATTAGGGAGACCACTTCATAGTTGGTGTAGAGGCCTGACCACCGCACTGTATTTCTGAAGCTGATGTTGAATAATAATATATGTCAACTCTAATTATATATACATATAGTCACGGGACGTGGAGTAGAGCGTGGGAATGGAGTCAATGGAATTGTAATAGATAAGCATGATATCGGGGATGGGAGGGCAGTAGATGGGGGAGGGGGGTTGTTACTTTGTGAGGGTGAAAAGGATAACATTGCATTTTTCTGTACACCTGAAACTAACAATAAAATAAAGAAGAAGAAGAAAAAGAATGCTCCAATATATAAGACCTTGTTATTGATAACAGTCTCCTTTTTTCTAGTTTGTCCCCTCGTGTCTGAGAAATGTGTGTTGGGGGCACAAGCACACTGACCTCTAACAAAGTCCTTGCTGATAGGTCAGCATCCAGATGCTCCAACAGTAGGTGTGCTACCTCTCTGTCGGCTTTCCTGGCACCAGCTCCATTCTCAGGCACACTCTCCCATGTGGTTGGCCACCAGGAGTTCCAATCTTGCATCCTTCTAGCATCAAGACAAAGAGCGGTTCCCTTTTCTTATAGTTCAAACATAAGTCCTAGAGTGGTGTTTCTTTGACTTTGCACGGCCTCGCGTGGGTCAGATGACCTTTCCTGGGGCTGAGGGAGGGTGGTTTCTCATGAAAAAGAAGGGGGCCCTTGCTAGAAAGGGGTGGCATAGAGACAAAAGTCAGCAGATGGCTCTGTGGCACCAACACCCATGCTCAGACTTCACCTTTTCCAACCTTCAAACGTTAGGGCTGGGTTTGGAAGAGGGAGATCTGAGGGCAGATCCTAGATCTCCTCATGCCTGTGGCATTCAACAGGCGCACACAGGTTCAGGGCGAGTCCAGGACAGCCCTGTTTTCCTCCAGCCAAGCTCGCCCAGCCTGATGAAAAGGACAATTAATCCAGCTGCCTCTCAGGAATCCACCAGCCCATTTGGTAACCATCTGCACGCCTCCTTCCACAGGGCAGCCCAAATTAAAGAGGCCTGTATTTGTTTTTTTGGAAAATGTTATGATTTTTCAAGTAAACAGTAGAAACTTTATAAAGCCATGAGATTTACTGAAACTGCCAAATGGTCTGGACTTGATCAAACTGGTTGATGCTGGTTCCAATGTGTGCTCCATTCTCTGCATTTTATTACCGTAAACAACAATTTTTATTTATTTTTACAGGACCAAAACGCCCCTTTATGTTTTTCACGTATTATTTTACTTGATCCCCCATCACATCCACGTGTGGAACTAGAATAAGTAATATTGTCAGGCCTGATTTACAGACGGGGACACTGGCACCCTCCATGGTTCTGGGTTTCCTGAATTCAGCTTGGTGCCAGGCATGTGGATTTGGAGCCCAGCTCTTCAGGTTGAAACCGTGTTCATTCTGGTATAGCCTGTTGTGCTTTGTTTCAGCTTACAATTGGAACACCACTCACATACCCTTGGCCTCACTGATCACCAGTCCAATATTTAAGAGAAGGAATAAATGAAAGAAGCATTTGTTCCTTATTCACACTCAGGGTGTGTGCTCCTTCTGACCTGGATGGCCAAGGTCATCATATTCCATTATAATCAACCCACGGATTTATTGCTTCTATAGAAAAAATACTGTCATAAACGCATGGGTAAGATACACAGATAAATAAGAAATACTACTCATCCTTAAAAAGCTTGGTTCTACTTGTGGATACAAGACAAACTTGAGAAAAATAATTATAGATACTTTTGAAATTTTTATAGAACTTGAGCTAGATTGGTAGCTAGATACCACATTAAAAAGCTTGAGACAGAAATAGATGAAAACGTGGCCCTATACAATCTATGATAAAAATCTACACAAATTGTACAGAGGACAAATGGAGAAAGGGTGCAAAGAAAAGATAGCATCTAAAAAAACCATCCTTTAAAAGGCCTTCTTTGCCAAACCAAGCAAGTTAAATGACAGCAAATCATGTGAAGATCAGGGTTTTCCCCAAGACCAGGTCAAGACTTTGGTCCTCTTAAAAGCATCGTAAACCCTACCCCTTAGCCCATTTATGAACAATTAGGCATTATTTTTTTAGCAATTAGTTAATGAGGTCCTGAGGTTCTCAGATTTGGAAGTGCATAGGCTTGTCATGTCTTTATTAGTGAGTCATAAGCCTCAGGAGGATATAAATCTGTTTTCTACCCTTTCTTCCCCCCATCGCCCCACCTAGCAAGAATTTGTATCCATAGCAAAAGCTAAATCCTGTGAAACTAGTATTAAATAAATAGAATTTAGCTAACGAGCTCTAGGTACAGGGCTGTTTTAACCATGACATCTTTAGGGCAAACATTCCTTGAGAGGTTGGCATGACTTGGAACTAGAAGGGACCTTAGAGCAAATGGGGAAACAGGACACCACAAATTCAAGTGACTGCTAATAGCCGACTCTCACTTTCCATCACATGGGGTTTTCCACCTAGCACACCATGGATCTCCTTAAAAGAGGGGGAGATGAGTAGCTTGGTTGACCAGAGGCTTACTCAAGACGCTTAGGGTAAGCGCTATCTTCAGTAACTCTCAGTAGCCTTGATCGTACGCTTGGTGACCTTTCACTCATGGTCATTTGAACCAGAAAGGGATCTCTTTCCCATGGACAGGCAGCTCAAAACTAGAACTGAACACTAAGGACTATGGGAAGGTGCACCTGAGTGGGAATTCACTCACAGAGTAAATAAAATCATTGGAATCTTTTTATTAAATTCCACACTTCAGAAACTTTAGTGTTTTCCTCCCCCTCTACTCTGTAAATGCTTCCCCTTGTACTTGTAAGATCTGTGCTGAAGCTACCTTACTACGTTATTTTTCTTCCGAGCAATGAGTTGATCCAGCCTTGCTGGGTACATCTGTTATAACATATCACAGCCTCCCATAATTACTCTTTTATTTAATTCTACACATTCTGATGAGCTGCATGTGTTCCAGGCAAGCACTAGAAGTGTGGTAAGTGCCCTTCATTCAAAAAGGGTTCTTCAGAACAGTACGAAGTGAAATTAAAGTAATTATTAAGTCATAGAAACTAAACACAATTCCACAGTCGGCAGAAGGGTTGGCAAATGGCTAGCACGCCCCAGGAAGACGTTTCAGAGCTTCTTTCTGAAACAATTCATAGTATCGGCTTCTTGGTAATGACACGCAGTAACTGAAGAGGCAGGGAAGCCGAGTGGAGGACTGCTCTAAGATCTAAAAGGACCCTCCCCCACAACATGGATGGAAACCAGAGAAGGGGCAGTCTTAGAGAAGAAGCGACGTGTGCAATCCTGTGGCTGGACAAGCCTGTCTTCTTTAGCACATCTCTTTAGCTCTCATGAATATTCTGTGGGCTGAGAAGCTTTTAGTAGAGGAGACAATTAAATTCAAGCTTTTCACCATTGCATCTCTTGCACCAGCGTGAGTAATAGGGCATAGGGCAATAGACTGAAATTAGATTGTAGCCGAACACGTGTACTGACCTTTTCTCAGAGCAGATCTATTTACTTAATGCAGCAGTTCAACTTGTAGGAAGTGATGTTCTCCTAGCTGGAGTAAAGGTTAAGAAAAATGTGCATCTTAATTCATCTGGATTTCAACTCAGATCGAGTTCTCTGCTTACTCTATAGACCAACATGTATTGGTGTCAACAAAACCGAGAGGGCAAAATTGTTTTGAAGTTAATGATACATTGTCTTCTCTATCGCTGAGTGCAATGAGTCTCCACGTAAGCATCCGTGTTAATATTACCTGGGCTCTTGTTAGAAATGCACATTTTGAGACCCTGTGTCAAAACTGTGGTGTCAGAAACTTTGTGTTTCAATAAGCTCCTCCCCCCCC